CCCCCCCTTTTTCTCGGTGCGGACTTACTTTTTTCCGCTTGGGAAGCGCAAGTGTGCGCGAGTTTTTCTACGGCGCTTTTCTTTCGTCGGTGAGTTGGTTTTTCTTCTATTTTTAAGTTACTAAGGTGAATGGTGAGGAAACCTTCGTCTTAACTAAACATAAGCCCCAAACAAAATATAATGAAAGCAAAATAAAAGTAAAATAAAAATAAAGCTCAGACTTGGTTCCTTACAATATATATACTTTCTGTCGTCCAGCCATGCTACGGAGAGTTTAGGCGAGTAAGTTGAGTTTACTATTGTCTGTACAGTATGTAAATTAGGTACCATAAATCTAATACAGCACTAATTTTATACATTTCTTGTGAAAGAAACATTTCTTATTCGACGGCCATAAAAATTATTTATATTAATGATGTCTCGAAAGGTCAACGAATTTTTCGCAGAAAAATAATTTACAGTGATACCTCAAGATACGAAATTAATCCGTTCCGAAACTGAGATCGTATCATGAAAATGTCGTAAGGTGGATCATCTTTTCCCATACGATTACATGTAAAACCAAATAATTCGTTCCAACGCGAAAAACATACTCAAATTAAAGCCAAGTAATACATTAAAAAAATAACTGTAGTAAGAAAAACAAATGAAAAATGCAAACTAATGTAACGTCGTATGGTGAGTTTTTGTTCGTATCGTGGAGCAAAAATATGTTTGAATTTCATGTCGTACCCTGAAAATTTCGTATGCTGGGGCGTTCGTAACCTGAGGTACCACTGTATTAGAAAATGCAGCCGCTGTTTGGTGCGCTGCTTCACGACGAAAACAAGCGTAAGCAACGGCTTAGTCGAACAGTGCACACTTGGTAAGTAATCCTACAAGTTTTTGTTTATAGCATAGTTTATATGGATTATTTCCAAAAAATTATACGTGTTTTGGAAATGTTGAATCGAATTAGTCTAGAATCGGTTAATTTTATAGAAGAAAACATTTCAAACAGCCTTAGTCCGTAAACTTCACACGTGTCGGTCTGTGATTGGCTCATGTACTTAAGGATTCCTACGACGTAAATTCTTATAAAGTGGAACGTATCTAAGCGTTATAGGGGGTCTACTGTATTTCGAAATCTGGCGTTTAGATACGAGGGATATTTTCAAAAAGTCTGTAATGCGGATCTTCCACAAAAGCAATAAGTGCAGTTTTATTCAAATTCGAAGTAAAAAAATCTGTATTTTGTGACTGTGAGCTGTGGTGACCAGTGTGCAAATATTTTAACAAACATTTAACAGAGTAAGGTTAAAAGTCACACGGTCTTGTAAATTACCCCCACCTGCGTTGTTTATTTGTAAACAGGAGGGAGAACAAAAGAAGTGTCGCTTGGCTAACCTTTTGAAAATACAATTTCGATAAGCGTGTCTCGAGTCTTGACCCGAATGTCCCGGGACCCGAGACAATTAAATTTAGAAAAAGTCCCGGGACTTCGAGACACAAGACGTCCCGGGACGCAAACCCTATTAAGAACATTACACCTGATATTATATACACACTAATTTACATAAAGTTTTTTTATAAAATTAATTTGTTAACCATTAATTTGAGATTTAATGCAGGCAAATATTATAGTTGGATTCCTGATTCTAAATACTAATTTATAAATAATGTATATAAAAGAGTTGTTATATCTATATATAAATAGACATATTTAAAAAAAGTATATTAAAAAAATTAAAAAATATATAATCTTTCATTTATTATTATTATTTTATCAAAATTTCTTAAATGGCTTTTTTGTAATGCTTACATAATTATTGCATTTTATGTGAATCATAGCAAATAAAGTTATCTACATATGTAATTAAAGACTGAAAACAGTAGGTGTATAAATAGCCACATTCTTAAATATTTTAAATTGAAAGCATGAAGCATCAAAAATCCAGACTAATAGAGGACAAACCCCATCCAGATTTTCAAATATACATGTAAATTAGCATTTTAAATACTGTAAACTCTAAATACACTGTAATTAAAGTTTAGGTGTTTGAGTTTGAGCCAGTATTTCACAAGAAATGTAGGAATATTTGCAAAGATTCAAAATATAGTTTACAGAATTACTATATGTAAACAAAAAATACACTAATCATAATTTCAAAATTAAAAAATTCTGAATTCTGAATGAATTTGTAGAACATCAATAATGGGAAAGCAAAAGAACACAAACTGAAGGAAAACAAGTTATCATCAAAAGGGTTAATATCCAATTTTTGATGGCCAAATGTGGATTTCTGATATCCAGATTTTTGATGCTTCACTGTGTTTCATTTATAAAAATTACAAAATTTTATTAATTTTGTTTTTCTACAGTAATTGCTAATTTTCACTGAAATTTTGCTTTAGAATTTTATCATAATTTTAATTACAGTTCATGGAATTTAAAATCAAACTAGCAAGAACTTGTCAAAATCAAGTTTTAATTAGTTAAAATATAATGAGCATATTTAAAATTTGGTGTTCTACACAAAAATCATCAGTAAAGCAAGTTTTTTCGTGATTGTTTGCAGGTGATTTGAGTCTACTTGTTCTCCTCCTACCAGTCCTCTCTGTCAGTGGCTTGTTTTAATTTTGAATCTGTCCCAAGGTGGAAATTTAGCATTCCTAAGACCAACTAACGTCAACTGATCAGGTTTCAGATTAACAGTGAAGATAGCGTTAGACCACCTCATAGATATCTCACTGAGATTATAAAACTCTTAACCTACCAACAGTCATATGTTTAAGTTTATTCTTCTTTTAGTTGGTAGATTTGCCAATAAAGCCTCAATCCATGAAGTAAAAAATTGGATTGTCAGAATTACATTTTAATCTCATCCTCAAGTAACAATAAAATAAAAACAGAGATTGGTGCTAAAAGTTGATAGCAGGCACTGTGATCAATATTAACAAAACTAATTTATTGAGAAAATAATGCAAAATGTCTTTAGTTAATGCATAATTAGAAAACAAAGCATGAATTCATAGTAGTAGTGAGCAATGGGTAAAGAAAATTAAATCATGAACCTGCTTTTTTGTTGGGTTTTGCTTTTTTTTTTCATTTTATTTGATTTCTTATGGATTTCTCTGACTAGCTGACATAATAAATAAATGGATTTTTGATAAATTAATTTAAAAAAACAATTATGGTCGAAATATATGTAACCTTTGCAGAAAAATTTTAAAAATATAACAATTGTAAAGAGTGGTATGTTTGTAATAAAAAATAAAGAATAGGTCAATTCTAAATTTGAAATATTGCAATTTAAAAAAGTCTTTACTAAAATACTTAAGAGAAAACGGATCATGCATTTGCTTGACCCATTCATTCCTAACTGTTTAGTAAGGTTTATAAGTTTAGTTTGCAAGTTTCTTGAAACATCAAGAAGTTTACATTGATATACTGATTTTACATAATAAGACCCACAGAAATATTGTCTGAATTTATTATGTGTCACCAATCAATCAGAGAACAAAATCTTGATTTTTAGCTGAACTTCCATAACTCAAAACTTTTTAACTTGAAATATGAATTCCCCCCCAACTGATTTGAGTTAACTGGATTTCACTATAATATTCTAGCCATTGAATTTTTGCTAGAATATATTGTTTTTAAAATGTTTGAATATTTTGTTGCATTGTTTTTAAATTGTTTAAATAACATATTGAATAATTATTGAACATATTGAAACATATTGAATAATTAAAATATTATATTTCTAGGTAATCCGATGAAACTGACTTATTTTATTTCTCCTTATGACTTGTTGGATGTTGAAACTAAATCATCAATTCCACTTACTGTTGATGGTAATTTTAATGTTAAAATAAAATATAGTATTTATTAAATACAAAATATCTAAAATGTTATTTCTATTTTAGCTGTTCTAGAGAGGCATCTAGGGCATTCTGTTACTGTTTGTATTGAAAGTTCGACTGCACACAAATTGCAAACAATGTCACTTTTAAGTGTATCAAAAACTCCTGAAGGAAAAAGGTATTTGTTCAAAATTATATCTAAAATATTATGTAAAAGAAATAAATTAGCAATAATGTTACTGATAAAATATAGTTCATTTATAAAAATAAGTTCCATTTGGTAATGAACTATCAGTTGTTAAGGTAAAATATTAAATTTTTATATAGCTTTCAATTATTCCAAGTATTGGAAAAAGTACTATGAATAGAAACTTTTAACCAGTCAAAAATAAATTACCATTATAATTAATATTTATTTAATATAGCTTAAATAATTATTGACACAACAAAAAATTCCTATTTAATTTTTATTTCATGTTAGAAATGTTTTAGTCATACTACTCAAAATAATAAAGATAGCATATCAGTTTAGTACTATAATAGAAGCAAAGATTATTGTTTTATGTGAAAATAATAAATTTGATAAATTTTATTTGTTCATTAACATAATTTAATAATCCAATTTGGTCCTATGCTAAAATAACTAATATGGTACAAAGCCTCTTGCATTTGTTAATCAATAGCATATATGTCATGACAGAATAAATAAATTATTTGTGAATAATATCATAGATTGGATCTTCAACCTATGGCCTACAGGCCAAATATGACTTCAAAGCATATTTATCCAGCTTACATATCTTTTTTCACCAACATGTTTTATCAAATTTGGTTTGGAAATCTATTATCATAAATATCAGCTTAATTAGAGTTTCATAGTGGCACAAGGCAGACAACAGGAAAATAAAATTACTTTGCCAAAGCCTTGGAGATCACATATTAGGACCTCATTTGCTCTAGGTTGCTCAAGACTGTCATAGATTGATTGTAAAATGTCAGACTGATAGTAGTGCTTTTAATATAAAATAAATCTAATATTGAAATATCCTTTAATTATTATGAGCTTTCTATTTCTGTAATATTTTTATAATTTTTATTTTTTATAAATATAATAATTGATAATCTGTTGATTGAAGTAACTGATTGATTATTACTTATTAACATTTATTAATAGTCAATGACACCAATTCTGATTATCAGTATGTTTCTAAAATCAACAGAAATATTTTATGTATTTATGAATAATCATTAAATTTATAAACTTTAGATATCTTTTTTCTTTCTTTCTTTCTTTCTTTTACCATAAAATGGTAAAGTTACAGAAAGATTATAATGATTTATTTTTTATTACTAATGATTAATATGCATTATGGAATGCTGAAATTAATATAGTTTTATACTGTTAATGCAATTATAATTTTTCATTAAGTTTATCATTTTAACTAAAAACACAGAGTAGGTTCTCAATGTAATGGATAAAAAATTTCTGTCCTAAAAGAAAAATTTATATTTTCTCTTGACAGATTTTCTTTTGTTTATTTGCAGATAAAACACACTAAAAGATGGGTCAATGAATATAAATTACAATGTACATTATAATAATAATTTATTCATACTTTCACATTATAATAACATTTTAATACATCCTGCATATTATAAATTTATTATTAATATATGTTTTAAAAACACATTTGATTTAATGGACTTTTCTTAAGAGCAATAGTAGATGCTCCTACCTTCAATTAGTCTGTTAAATTGAGAGCCTACTGTATTTGAAATTATTTTCAAATTTATAAGTTTTACATAGTTCTTCACACTTCTTTATAAGGTAAAAATATTTAAGCATACACTTCTGTCCAAAATGTTTTCTATTATTTGACACTCTGATCTGTCAAATAATGTTCCATACTCATGATGCTTGCTCGTGTAGAGATTTGGAAATGTAGTCATATAAAATCACATACTCAATGCAGGTGTGGGAGACTGTTAGTTTTTATTAAACTTAAGATTTTAACATGGACATAATGTTTACCACAAAAGAATCAAGAACACATTATGTATGATAGAAATATAGGTCTAGTTTTTCACTGTATCTGATTTACTTGTGTTGCCACTACCTCAGAAAGTTGTTTTGGTATGGCCTTGTTGAAATTAGTAACAGTCCAATTAATTAAGTTTCTCTCAGGTCCTATACTATTGATCTTTGTATATCTGCACTTCTGAAAGATTCAAGTATTATCTATGATATTTAGATCTGGACTTCTTGCATATTAATGCAGAACATTCACATTTTTTGACCTGGATGTATTATCTAACCTGTCTAGCTTTAAGATTTGACATATTATGATGTTGGCTTTTCCATTTTTGTGGCCTGACAGGTGCTTGATATGGATTAAATGCCAGGAAAACAGATAATACTGAAAGTTTTTCCATAAACACTGCTATTATATATATTGAGTGATAATCTTAACTTTAAATTTTCTCATTGAAGTGACTACCCCTTAAACCATAACATTTCCTCTATGCTACTGAAACTTCACATATTGATGTTTGGATGCAATATGATCATATTTGAGCACATATGAGTACAGATTGACTGGCCATAGATTATGGAGCTAATTCTACAGCTAGCTAATTCTCATAAACTTTATCAGTTTTAGGAACATAGCACCCTCACCAGTAACAGGCAAAAACAGGCTATTCTATTAAATGTGTTCACTCCATTCAAAATTACAATTCTATTAATTAAACATTCTATATAATTAATTCTGTTAATTTTTAAACATTAAATTAGTAGAAAATACAGAAAATACTTTTCTTACTGATGGAGGAGCTTTTGACTTTGTTTTTTATAAATATCTCAAAATGATCCAGAAATTTCAAAAATCTTTTTAATCTGTTCATTAGCGTCATTTGTCATGCCTGATTTTGTCACAGCTATATCAATCAGTCATTTTTAATCATATTAAGACCATGGCCAGTTACAAGGAATGCATATTAGTAACAATCAAATCTTACTATTACTAAAATATACATTGCACGCCTTTTACAACATTTAGCAAAACGACTGTGTGCTGGAAATAGCCGTTACCTAATGGGTACTTTACGCGAATTCGCATTAATATGCCAGGCCTGGATTTTAAGCATGCACCGAAAGAAATAATGACAAAGTTAGTCAAAACCAATCCAATATTTAATAATTCTAATAATGACTATGTACAAAATTTAGTAACAATCAAACAACAAATTTATTCAAAGAAAATCAATAAGAATCAACCTGACAAATAACTCAAATCAATCTATTTGCTAACTTAAATCTATTCCTCTTTGGAAATCGACAAAAAATTCAAAGACTTAACTTATGTACAACAATTCTTATGAACTAAGGTCCTAATCGTCACCTCAATATACTAGGAACCTTTTTCCTCAACTCTCAAGACTTTCTAATCTTCGATCCACAAATCAAATAACTTCAAATTGCCTTGGAATCACTTTATCGCTATCAGACACCTCTTGTCGTTCACTGCTACAAAGCTCACCACACTCGTTGCTAACAGAAGCTCACCTTGGTCATCTTCACTTGAGGTTCGGACTTTATACTATGAGGTGACGTCACAATTCTGATTGAAATCACTCCCTCATTTACATACTTATCGCTAACAGTAAATTTTTCCTTTCTGCCTGGCAGCCTATTTCATGACAAATTCTCACTAACCTGTTACATTATTCTTTTTTACAATTTTTTAGGATGTTTTATTCTTTAAGGTTTAGCAAGTTCCTAAGTTGTGCTTGTGAGGTCTCCCCCTTTTTCTTGGGGGAGACCCCATAAGCAGACTTTTTTTCACTCAGGAGTGCAAGTGTGCGTGAGTTTTTCTACTGTGCTTTTTTTTCGTCGTTGAGTTGGTTCTCTTTCTTCTATTTTTAAGTTTCTAAGGTGAGTGGTGAGGAAACCTTCATCCTAACAAAACATAAGCCCTAAACAAAAATAGAATAAAAAGCAAAATAAAAAATAACTAAAAATAACACTCGGATTTGGTTTCTTACATCATTTTCATCAACCTGAGTTAAACCAGGATCTCTATCACATGGTCAGATAAGTTTATAGTACAACTTGGTAAATACACTTTAGAGACAATCAATTTGTGCTACAAATGAAAGCATTTTTACTTTACACGTGTAAAATATAATTAAATTTCTATTATTGTTTAGTTATTAAAATTATTACATCAACATGAGTTTGTGAGCATATTTGTATTGTCTATAAATTGTATCGATCTTGGCTATATAGAATACTACATATATAGCTTTTTCGTTAGTACATTTAGGTAAAAGGCATAGTTTAAGACTCTGTGCTAGCTCCTTTGTGTCTTTACAGCCACAAAACATATGGAATTTTGAAATTACTTTTTGACACCTTGGGCAATTACTCTTAGAAAATTTGATAATTTTGTTATTAATTATTATCAATTCTGATTGATGTTTCTTTGGACTTTATGTAATATCAACTTTTTATCTGAAGAAGAGGACAGATTGATAAATATAATTCTCTCCAACATATATTATTAATTCTATGTTTCAGCTCGATCACCACAAAAATAAATTGTCTGTTATGCAGTGTTTTAAAAAGTTTTCCAAAGTTCCTCTTGATTAACAATATTAGACCACCTGCTGGATGGCCCATTCTACTTTTCCTCTGAGCTCTGCTGTACAACATCATATTTTCATGTTCTAGAAACACCTTGTCTTCTTTACTTAATTCAGCAATCCAGGTTTCTGTGAGGCCACTTATAGTATGAGATTGTATATGATTTTTTACTGGCTCACTGAAAATTTTTCCTTGAAGTCCTTGAATGTTCCAAAAACTTATAAATAAATTCTCTCTGCCTTTGTTGGTATTCCTTACAGACATAAGATTATTCTTATTATCCTTATCAGCCCAATTCTTCGAACTCATTTTGGAATACTGGACAAAATTCGAGTTATTTTGGGTTGTCTCAGTATTAAGTATCTTTTTTTTCCCTTCCTCCTCTGAATCTATGATTAAACTATTCCTAAAAAATGGTCTATTTGAATAATCTTATCTGAATTAGTGTCATACGTATATCTTAAGTTGTCTTTTATATAATAATCATCTCTAACTATTATTTTATTCTTGTTTAACTTTTTCTGTTTAATCCTAATCTGTAGATATTTCCTTCTTAACCTCGATTGTCTGCATGGATCGGCTGTAAATATTTTTTCCTTGTCCTCACCAACTAAGTTTGATTTTGACTGCCAAAATTCTCTAAGAATCTTATTTCTTGCATTAACAGACTCAAGAATTATTTTGACAATAGGTTTATTTTTCCTATTATTTAATTTGATTAGTCCTTCTATTTCATTATTTTTTAGTCTTAAATCATTATTTATGAATAGATTAATTTCTTGTAAGTAATCTAATGATTTGAATGGGTAATTTAAAATGATTATATTCTTTTTAGTTTTCTCATTTACAAGTTTATCAATTTCAAATTCAAACATAACTTTAAGATGATTATTTTTCGATTTTTTGTCCAGTTCTTGTAGCTTTTGATTGATTCCCTTCATTTCTTCTTTGTAATTCTTGTTCTCTTCTTTCAATATGTTTACTTCTGATTTAATCGATTGCTATATTTAGCTGACTAAATTTATCCTAAATTAGATCATATTTAATGTATATTGAGGTTCATCAATAATTTATGATTCTGGTTCACTTACTGGTTCGAAGTACTCATAAACTTTTGGATTTTTCATAGATTCAGAGAGTTGTTTACTATTTCCATTTATTTGATAATATTCCTCACTTAAAATTTCTGCTAGTTGATTCTTTTTCTCCTCATCCTTGGAACTTACTTTGCGAGGTCTGCCATTATTACGATGCCCCCTTTTTTCCATTTCCAATTGACTTAATCATTGTGGGGAATGGGGCAGATGGCTGGGTTGGATTTGGATTCAATTCCAGCAATTATTAGTAATATTATAATTAAATCCAAGGATAACCTGTTAGCAAATTTTTACATAAGTCATTTTTCCTTTCTTTATTGTTGCTTTCATGCTCTAGTTTACTGAGTCTCAACTCCTCTCAAAAGTTCACTCACACGCTAGACAAGCAGCTCACATCCCCGTGGTCACAGCTATATCTTATCACCTGTCATTTCTAAGTGATATTTAATATTATTATGTCCACTAATGTAGTGGGAAGATTACCATCATGCAGTTGATTTGATTGTCATTAGAAAACATATTTACATTAAGAATATATTATGTTGAAAATTATTTGTAAAAAATTTTTTATATATCCATTTTTATGAGTGTATTTTAATGAATGTTACTGTTAATGGTGATACTTTTCTTATGCTTTAATCATAATACCTAAAAAGATTATTATATAAAATATAAGAATAAAGCATTATTGATAAAATGCATTTTTAAAAAAAAACTTAGTCTTAATGATTAGTCAATAAACAATGTATTTATTGTAAAATATGCTTAATGGTTTTCATTAAGGAAATGTTTTAGTTCTGCATATTAGTAATGTTTGTTTGTTGTTTAATTTTGATATTTTAGGATTAATTTTTAAATAAATCTTCAATTACATACAACATATAACTTATTCACTTTTTTTAAATATAAAATTTATGCTTAAAAATTAGTCTTTTAATACTATTTATTAAAATTGAATAAATTTAGTTTTTATATATATAAAGTTTGTATTAATATAAAGTAATTATATTTCATAGAATAAAATAAAAGCATTAATCCAAAAAAAATGTTATGTTGTTATCATCTTATTAACAATTTTTAATTGAATATATGTTAATAATTTGCTGATAGAAAATTCTCTGATTTCATTTTTACCTGAAATAAGTTTTTGAAAGAGAACAGTTTATAATTAAAATTGTATATATATTTTTTTCATATGCATTACTTTTAGTATACCAAATTGGTATTTGTAATCAAGTCTCTTTTATTTTATTCTAAGATCTTAGCATTTAAAAATATTTTGTGTTGAATAAATTTCATTTTATAACCAGTTGTCATTAACTTTTAAGAGCAAATAATTTTAAGTATAGTACATTAAAGTAAATCTTACTAATTATTATAGTCTGCCATCTTTTGCTGCTTTGAGCAATTTAAATAGTACAACTTTACCAGCAAGCTTTGTTCTGCATCTTCCTAATTCTATTCCAATGGCAACAAATCTTATCAAGAAAATTCAAGCAGTTACAAGTATGCTTTCTGTGTTTAATTTTTGAATTATTTTTTGTTAATTTCTGTATCTTAGTAGTTGAAATTAATTGGCTTAAATTTCACAAAATTTATCCAGTAGTTGTTTGCATCATATTTATCATCGTATGTCATACATGTATTAATGAAATGTTTTTTAATGGTTGATACTTCAGATTTTTTAAATTTTGAAATTACTGTAAATTTATATAACTAATAATTAAATCAATTAATTTAATTATTTTTTAGATATAGAATGTGCAGATATGACAACTTGTCAGTCATTACTCTCACTTATCATTAAAGATATGTCAGAAGGAAAATTAGAGTGCCGCAGTGATCAAGGACTTTATGTAGTTAGTACATTATAAACTTTGTTAATGTGAGAAATTTTTATCTTAAAATATTTTTATTTGTGATTTTAATTGAAAAATATTATATTCATTTTCAGACATTGCCAGATCAGCATCATTGTTATTTCTTGAATGCTATTAATGATCTTCAAGGTGCTCTAGTATCTGCAATTCCTTTTACTCACCCTACTCATGTTCCACAGATTTTAGTATTTTTAAGACAACAAATGCTTTTCAATACAGTCATAGGAAGTTGTGTCCGTCCAACCAGCAAACAAAGTAAGATTAGCTATATAAATTAAATTATTTATTTAGTTATTGATTATCTTTCTCTGTTACTCAGTAATTTCAACAAAAATTATTGGCACTTCTCATTTTTATTTTACACTTCTTATATAGATTTTTGCTAACTACTGTCTGGATATTCAGGGCTCTCACTTGCCACTAATCTGGGTTTTGTGAATAAAACTATTCATTTGGTTAACAAAATCATTTCTGCATTTGTCAAATTATGAAAGGTCCTCATACAATCCTTCATCAGGCTTGAAGCAACAATTTCTGATGGCAATTAAAATGCCTGCCTACCAGTACACTGTCAATTACCATCTCTTTCATTTTTCATAAACTGGGCATTGGCCTCATCAATCAGTAAGATGCAAATTATGTCATTTTAACATTATTAGTGAGTGCTTTGTTACTGTAAATATTGTACAGTACTGTACATATAGATAGTTATCTACAGTGTTTGTTGTTAGGTTGCAGAACTGTTAATGTTGAGGCAAGTTCAAATAAAAAAGAAAGTTGAACACTCATTGTTTCTACCAATATAATTCAAAATGATGCAACAATAAATTTGTATTGTAAGACCAATATATATCTTCTACAGATGAGGATGTGTCAAAATACATCATTTTACTACAAGCAAGTGCTAGATGCTACACACAAGAACTTAAATCTGGCTTAACACATTGAGTAAGCCTTTATGCTTTGGCAAAATTTAAAATGCATCTCATATAATTGTAACTCTAAAAATAATTACATTTTTACCTTTTGAGTATTATTCTCAAAATTTAGTCAAAGTGATCTTGATTTAAAAGAGAATAATTATTTATTAAATTACAATTTTATGATATGAAAACTGAAATGTTTGAATTCATATCATTATGTGACAATGTGCAAAGCACCCTCTATGCTTCTGCACCACTTGACCAAAGGGTCAACATCATTTTGGTGATGACTATATCAGAATAGAAGGCACTGGGGCTGTTTTTGTTTAATGTTTGTGTTGTTGTTGCTACGTCTTGCAAGTGGTTGTGTGTGCAGGCGATTGGATTCAGGATGGAGGAGATCTGAGCGATGGTGAGTCAGAAGCAAATCACTCAGATCCCTGTTTATATTTAAATTTTTTAAATTACCATTTATTTTAAAAGAACTACTAAACAACTAATTACCATTTATTTTAAAAGAAAAAAGGATTACATGTTATATACATCGTACTATGTCAAAATAACTGACCTATACACCATAGGTGGTCGCAAGAGAGAGCATTTACATGATATTGCATGCAGACATAAACACCTGAAATTTGGTTGATCCACTGGTAGATGTGGTAATCTCCCTGTCCTGGGAGTAGAGGTGAAATCTAGAATGTCTTGAGTTTCAGCAATGAAGTTAGTCCTATTAGGCGGATTAACACTGTTGGTGACAGAGTTAATCCTCTTAAGGAGTTGGCTATGACTTCCGTTAGAGGATTGGGTGACAACTGTAACCATTGGAAGAGAGTGGTGACTGTCTCAACAGCCATTAATCGTTATATTAAAGTTGGAAGGCCAAAAGGTCGCAGGAAAGCGTTGCTTTTGACATTGAGAACATGTAAAATGAGATGTTATCAAGTTGATGAGTAAAAGTTGACAGTTATCAAATATATATACAACAAAATTATATTATTTTCTATTGAAATTCAGATTCCTACACATTGTTTCTCAGAATATTTTAAATTTCCAAATTATTCCCCCCTCCAATTATTTCCACCTTTTTAAGTGATGATAAACCAATCCAAAACTTAGCAAACTAAAAATAAATCATTTTGATTTAAAATTGAGAAAATAATAATAGTTAATTAAGAGGACCAAAAGATTTAATGTTGATGTTTAACAGTATTTTCACCTTGGTATTCAATATTATTTAGAAAAGTTTTAATAGATTATATATATTTTCTGAATTTTCTAATGGTAGCTATTTATATGTTTTTTAAGGGCGTTTATTGTGTTATATCGAAAGGATGTACAGCTTGCTACAAGGTTTCTTACTAATTAAAAGCTTATTATTTTGAAAATTTAACAGTATATGTTATATATCCTTTTAAGACCATTAAAATACAAAAAGATTTTTTGCAACAATGTATACCGTAAGGATTATACATTCTTGCGAAAAACCCTTGATGATGTGGAGGTGGTAAAAACAGCTTCACTAAGGGCACTGGACGATATCAAAGTTGAAGAGTTCCAGAGATGCTTCAAACAGTGGGGAAAAAGACTTCACAAGTGCATTGCATCTAATGGAGAGTACTTTGAAGGTGACTGAAGAAATTTTGTAAAAAAGTTAATAAATAAAGTTTTTATACAAAAAATCTGGTTATTTTTGGGTCCCCCACTTATACATTGAATAATTGCTTCTGTTGTAGTGTTGATGAATCTTATTGTTTTTATTCTGATTCTCTCATAATGAAATCTATTTTGGTTTATTTGTGTATCTTTGCATAGACTTGTTCCTTAGTATTTTATACAGATATTTGCAAAGGTTAAAAAATTTCTCTGTTAAGAATACAAAAAAATACTGTTAAGAATTACTTTCAACAGTATTTGAGCTGTTGAAAGTAATTCTTAACAGTATAATCTGGGCAGCCAGAAGTCAAAGCAGTTAAGGTGTCAGCCTACTGCACTGGAGAACATGGGAATAAATCCAGTTAGGTTGAAAATCTCTGGAATTTTTTGTGGACAGTCAGTCATGGATATGTCTGCTCCATCCCTCACACAGCCACCACATTGTATGCCTGGCCAAACCCACAATGGACTTGATATAAGGTCCTCTTATAATACAGGGTGGAAAGAGTCGAGAGAGAGAGAATTCTATAACAAAACACTTTCAAGAGGCAATAATTATGTTTTAAAGAAACATGAAAAGTAAATGAGTATTAATAATAATAATAGTGGTATTTTTTTAAAAATTTCAAAACATTTGTGCATTGTTAGATTTTATGTTGGAAGTAGTAAACTAAATTACTGCAGGGCTTAAAGTGACTCGCTTTTTTTCATAGCTCCTCTCTTTTTTTAGCTTTTTCTGAGGCAAACTTGCTTTTCTTGCTTTTTTCACTTCCCACATGAAATTTTTTTTTCGTAAATGCGCTTGGGTATGAAATAGCGACCAGCATACTTCCATTTGCCTTATCATGTGACCATGTGCAACATGATAAGGCACTGTCATCTACACATGTACATATATATAGGCTAACAAGGAGCTTCCCAAGGCTTGCTACTCTGCATATGCTGTAGGAATTTCCGTGTGAGTTCTCCTTGCTTGTATCCTTGTGAAATACCGATCTTCGTGGCACTTTGATGCAGTGACATGGCACTAAGGTAAAAGTACACCTATAGTTCAGTGTTAAGAGTGATTTTTGTACGGCATTATTTTTAGCATTTGTATTTATTTATTTAAGCACAGTGGACAAAAGAAAGAAATAGACTTTATTTAATACTAACAATAGAAACTCATGTTTCAGCAATGGAAAATCATATAGAATCCAATACTTTCTGAAGTAAGTTGTGAAGCAAACTTTTCCTTCCCAACGGTCTTTCTACTATTCTTCTTTAGCTTAAACGATGACATCACTCATTCTTGACTACCGCAGATAAACCGAAAATAATAATTGTTGAGCAATAATAAATTTGATTTCTACTGTTATTATTAAATAAAACATTGTGGGACATTTGTTTATAAGCTTGTATCTTTCTAGCACTGTAAAATTAAAGATCGAGCGAACCTTGTGCCAGAAGTACAAGATTTTAAACTAGTATCCTAGATATTAATAACTTCTTAAGAACTGAATGTGAAGTTAAATGTGTTGTGTTTTCAATAGCAGATTGCCCCGTAGGTAGTGATGCTAAAATGAACTTTTATGATCATTTGGAAGAAATTTATGGGCTTTCTCAATTTTTTTTTTTTTAATAAAATATAGAATGGGTGTATAAGAATGTATATGAATAAAAAAATAAATAAATTTCCCCAAAGAGAAGTTGAGAAAAAACAAGATAGAATTTGATGTCACCCAAGAATTCAAGCATAAATATGCTTACAAAAGCCTCACACATATATAACATTGTCACAAATAAACATACAAGCTTACAAACAGAATTTTCTTTTATTTATAAGATTGAATGTAATACATCAATTAAAAATTTATGTATAAAAAATTATGATACAGTATTTTGAGATAAAATTGATAAGTTAAATTTCTACAGAATGTAATTGAATTCTTATTTTGTTTTTAAATGATTTAGAAGTTGGAATAAGTATTCTAGTTAGAATAATTATTAAGAATCAAACATTTTTATTTTGTTTATTGAGTAGATTTTTATTTACAGACATTGATTCTGCTTGGATATTTGAAATAACTGCATTATCTACTTCTCATATAACTGTTTCTTTTAAACATCCAATGGAAGAGTCTTTAGCAACAGGTAAATAAAAATATTTAGAGTATTTCCATCTATGATTAAAGAGCTAAAATACGATTTTTTTTTTTTTACTAAATAAATAAAACTATTGGAAATTTTTGTTTAAATGACACAGCATAATCCAGTGGTTCCCAATGTTTTTTGTTTTGTGAATCACTTTTAACACAACATTTGTACTCTGAACATCCTTGGGTGAATGTATATTATATAAAACTTTTATATTTAAAATTATCAAATACATTAGAATCCTGATTATTCAATCTCTGATTAACTGAAATTTTGCATTATCCAAGGTGAATCTGTAAGTGAATATAGTATTTTTCTTATAAAATTCATAAAATAAAGTTTAAAATGATAACATGTATTACAAAATGATTGTTTCCATTGCATTTTATTATTTAACTTTAATTAAAAATGAAACCAAGTAATTCTTATATTCATAATTTTTAATTTGAAATTGTCATGGCTATTCATTTATCTGAGATAGCCACAGTCCATGTTATTTCAGATAATCAGGGTTCTATTGTTCTTTGATGTAGAATAATTTTGATATGGCTCTTCAAGAAGTTCTCATTGGTATTTATTAGGATTTGGAAAACTTATTCAATTCTAATTATACCAATTTGTTGCAGTAAATGCCACTTTAAGAATTAAAAAGTATATTGTAAAAAAGTATTTATTTTACAAATTTTGTAATACACAATTATTCATTTTTAATGAAATGCTGGGTTATTGTAATTAAAGTACCTCTGTGTAATTCTGTAGAGAGAGAATTAGCAAATGCAATCAAATTTGGCATAGTGACATTTCAGGATATGTAAAAGACAGTTCTATTAAAAATAAAATCAGTACCAAAACTCACCACTATGGCACTTTTGGCATTGCAAGCAACAAAAAACAGTTTCATTTGTGGGAACACTTAAAAAGTGTGATTTATTGAGACATGTTGTGACATGTGAGAAGCATTGTAGAGGATCTGTTATGATTAGCCATTGTTCAGTACCTTCAGTTTTTATGTCTAGAATGTGGATCACATTGAAGAGTATTCCCTCACCACTAATGGCTCTATACAGTATGAGTGTCTTTTACAAATAAAACATTTTTGCTTGCACCAAATTCGGTTGTATTTGTACTGTTACATAACTCTCTAAATAATGTTGAATATTGAATAGGATAGTTTAATTGTAGTCACTTGGCGTGTTCAAACACTAGGAAGAACTTTAGCATAATATAAAATCAAAAATACTGTAAGTTTAATTATGCTTCTGGAGTTGTTTCTCCAAGCATAATTTAACAATATTTGGTGACATTACAAATTTTTAGCACTAACTCCCTGAAGCTTGTGAACCATCAAATGGGAATCACTGATAGTCTAAGTTATAAGTGAAACATCAAACAGAAATATTGAAAATAATGATATTTTGTATTATATTTAACAAGAAGTTAATTTTAAAGTTTTGTATAAGTATGATGATATTTAATAATTTCTGTGTGATTTATTTTTCTATGTAAGGGTTATTTCAAAAGAAAGACAATTTTAATATATAACAGATTAATTAATTTTATTAATATTTTTTCAAATATCATAGTAAAAAATGAAGAAATCATTAAATTAATGCTCTTTAAAAAAACCAGGGCTGTGGAGTCGCGTAAAAATCTACCGACTCCGACTTTTCCTTACCATCCAACTCCAACTCCGACTAGGGGCAGACTTGTTACCGAAAGAGACCCAGAAATTCTGATGTCATCACGTGACCTCAGAATAAAAGATTCAATAAATAGAGTTCTAATAAAGATAGAGCATAGAAACTTTTTATTCCAAAGCTAAAAGACTTTCTAAGTAATATATAAATATCTTTTTGATAATTTTTACTTTTCCGGCTGTTATATATAACAGAGGAAAAGTGTAGCGCTCGGTCAAAAAATGACTCCTCCCAAATTTTTACATTTTTGGACTCAGAACACCTTGAAATTTCGAGATATGCAAAAGATTTGAGGTTTTTTTCTATATGTGTGGATGTTAGACTGTGTGGGGGAGCATGATTTTGTTCACCCTGTTTGAAGCCTAATAATTTCTGTGGTCAGAGTGGTCAGAATTGGAGTCAGATGGTTTAACACAGGAGTTAGTTATTTAGCGTGAAAGTGGTTGAACTAAATCATGTTCACATATACATTCTAACAACTTAAGCGAGAGCCATTAAGATGTTCATTAAAACCCATTAAGATGGACATCTTAACGGGTTTTACTGTATTATTATAAAATGGCAAAAAAGCTTACTTTGAGGGTAAAGACAAGTTTTATTTTATTTTTTTTTAATTTTGAATGCTAATAACAAGTAAATTATTTATTAAGAGATATGACACATGACCACTTTTATGTCTTCACCCTGGACCTTTAATTAAGAACCAAAATTTAATAGTATTAATGCCCCTTTATATGCAAGCTACAGTGCCATATTTGTTTCTTAAACTTTACCCATTCTGAGATATTGTTTAATATCTCAGAACAGAAAATAAAGAAATTAAACAAATTAGATGCCAACACACACACGTGCGAATTTTTCCCTTTTATTGACTTTTTTGAGGGGTTTGGGAGGTCTCCAAACATGTAGATTTGCAAAAAAAAAAAAACTTGGAGGGTCAAATTTGATGCAATTCCAATACTTTTCTGTTTTATATACATAACAAGTTGGTAAGTAAAAAGGAGTCGGAGTCAGCGGATTTTTTGAAGACTCCAACTCCGGCTAAAACTCTCCGACTCCGACTCCACAGCCCTGAAAAAACCACATTTGCTATAACTTTAAAAATATTATTTTCATTCATTTTTTAATCTTATAAAAATTAATGCATGTTAAATTCTTTCAAATTATTTTAAATTTAAAATTTTTCTTTTGAACTACCCTTTGTAATTAATTTAATGGTTATGCAGCATGACATTCAACTTTAATTTAAACTTAAAATTAAAATTATTAATTACATTTTCTGATAATATTTTTATATTATCAGAAAATGTTATCAGAAAATTTCTGATATTTTTATATTATCTGTTATTATCTAAGGTGACCAGTAAAATCTTACAAAAACTTTCATCTTAATGTCACTGGTAAATTATTTTGTACCATTAATCAAGAATTAAATCTTTGGGAATAAGATGAAATTGAGCTAGATTTGATTCCTATTATTTTTTTTACACTTTCAAATCAACTCAACTTAAACTTTATTATCTATTAAGTTTCTTTAAAGTTATAGAAAGTAGACAAAAATTGATGATGTTGATTCAACATTAAAAAAAATGAAATAAATATTGATATGGTATCAGAAAAGGAAATCTTAAATAAAATTACATGAAAAATGAGACAAAACTTGTTTTAAAAAATTGGTTATTACTAGATTGTAATAATTCAAATATGGCAGTGATGAAATTGACGAGGATCAAAATAAAGAAAGTTGCTATTTTGCAACTTCCTATATTTTTATGCTGGCTGGTGAGAAATAGTTAGGCTAGTTCTTGAGACAAAAAATAAAATATTGAATATTGCAGTATGAAATAATTTAAATGTGTTATTGAATTTTTTATCCTTAACAGTATTGAAATAAATATAGGGTAAAATGTTAATTATTTTAAAATTAAAATGATGAATAAAGTTTGTAAAAATAAAAAACATATTTAAAACAAATTCAAAAAAGAATTTCTGTGAGTAGGAAAGTTTACGAATTGGTTATAACCAAAAAAGTAAAAAATGTTATTGAGGAAGTAATTTTCAGCTCCATCCAAATTGGTATATGAAGGAAACAAAGCATGCCAAGAGATGTTGGTAAGATTCAAATCACCACAAAGAAAAAACTCAATCCTTTATGGGCTGATATGAAAAGAGAAATCACTCAAGAAAGGTAAAAATACAGAATGCTTAGGATCTGGGGCATAAACTACGTAGGCTGTTTTCTTTTCAAGCTCCAGTAGTCCATAAAAAAAGACAAGTGTAAATAACAAAATAATTTTGTTACAAAAGTTAGGTACAAACATGGTTATTTTTTGACATAATCACCATGAAGATTGAGGCATTTGTCATATCTGTGGACGAGCTTTTCCATCCCCTCTTCATAGAATGTTGTCATCAGTGAATTAAGATGGCTTTAACAATGTTGTTTTGAAGATTGTCATTTGTCTCAAACCTCTACCCTGCTAGCCACGTTTTCAGTTTAGGAAAGAGGTGGAAGTCTTCACACATTAAAAAGTTTTAAGCTGGTGGAAGTTTTCATTACCTTTAAACACCCAGTGTATAACCTCAATTTGGCGCTGAGTGACTTCCACCTCTTTCCTGAACAAGAAAAGTGGCTAAGAGGCAGATGTTCAAGACTAATGACGATCTTCAAAACAACATTGTTAAGGCCATCTCAATTCACTGGCAACAACATTCTATGAAAAGGGGATGGAAAAGCTCGTCCACAGATATGAAAATGCCTCAATCTTTACAGTGATTATGTCAAAAAGTAGCCATGTTTGTACCTAACTTTTGGTAATAAATTCATTTTATTATTAACACTTGTGTGAGATTGGAATTTTATTAATCTAAAAATTTAATTATTTCTACTTCTGTTATATAATGGATGGGCTAAACAAAAAACAATCTTAGCTGGGAACATGTGAAACCCTCCTTTTATAACTATCAATAACTATCTATCTAATAACTATTTATAACTATCTATTGTTCCCACACAGCCTACAGCTCGACTTGCACGAAAGTTTATAGTTAGCATCCAAATTTCGTCACTTGTTTTGGTCCCAGGAACACCTATAACCTTTATCTCCTATAACAACTGATCACATGATCGATTTTCCTAGCAAAAAGCTATAAAAGATACTTTCTTTCCCCTCTTGGGAGAGTCTCTTAACGAAAGCTGGACCGACGTCATTGAATACTGTCTGTCGCCACAGTTGCAAACTTTTATACTTATGCCAATTTGGATTATGCTAAAAACCCACTTGTTGGATATCTTTGTGCCCTTAATGAATTTGAATCGCCGTCGAAACCTACATGTACAAAGAGGTATGCAAACCCGTGTAAACTCTCTCTCGAGCCCTTAAGCGTATTAGTGTTGAAATTAGTGTTTGTAATTTTTGTCGATCTTGTCTATTTTAATAAACTTATTTTATTTATTAAATGGTATTCTCCTTTACTCATATACTGCCTACGCCTTATGGTTGACCCCAATTACTCTCCCTCCACTCGACCGACATAGAGCAGAAAGTCTCGACTCTCAGGACCAGGAATCGTAACATAGCCATCTTGACAAGTGCCCGAAAAGGGAGGTGTGGCAGTCTCCGACCTCCCTGGCAGTTCACACTTGTCTTTTTTTTTTTTTTTTTTTTTTTTTTTTTTTTTTTTTTTTTTTTTTTTTTTTTTTTTTTTTTTTTTTTTTTTTTTTTTTTTTTTTTTTTTTTTTTTTTTTTTTTTTTTTTTTTTTTTTTTTTTTTTTTTTTTTTTTTTTTTTTTTTTTTTTTTTTTTTTTTTTTTTTTTTTTTTTTTTTTTTTTTTTTTTTTTTTTTTTTTTTTTTTTTTTTTTTTTTTTTTTTTTTTTTTTTTTTTTTTTNATATAAATTGAATCAAAGATAAATTTTAAATTAATGGGAGAAAGAGTATTTTTGATTACTGTATATTTAATTTTTAATCAAAATAATGAATAAAAGAATTTGTATAGTCTCTCTCCTTTTAGAAGAAAACAAATTGATAATCACTCAAAATCAAAAAATTTGATAACCTGTGTTTAGTTTGTCAGTAATAAAATTGTGAAGATTTTTTTATTGTAGTTGAAAGAACAATTGGCTGATAATTATTAAATTTCTCATGGTTATTTTTATTTCATTTTGTGAATCAGAGTAAAAATAATTTTAATCCAGTTAGAGAAATAAATGAAGGAACGAAAAAATATACTTTAAAAATTATGGTGAAAAATTGGTAGTATAATTGGTAAATTTAAAGTTTTTTTTATGAATCTCTCCACAACTCTGACAAAGTTTTCTTCATTAATTGAAAAAGAAAATAAGAGTTCTTTCAAATGAATTTTTAGATGTTAAATTTAATGAGTTACATTTTAAGTCATTTTGAAATGTTTATTTGCTACTTGTCCTTTTATCTTATATCTATTATGTGCACAAATCTATTAACACAGAAATTGAAAGACAACATTTTTGTAATGAAATAAATTCATAACTTTGCATTTTGACTACAAATTCTTATAATTTTATCTTAAAAGGAATATCATAGTCTGTAAGAAATATATACAGTATATTATTATTTACTTTTTTATTACTTAAAATATGAATATATTTTAAGTAAGGAGTAAACTTAAAAAATTATTATGTATTAAACAAAAATGGTCTCTAATATTTATATGAACTTTCATGATGGATAATTATAATTTAAACAACTATCAGTATATTTCTGAATACTGTTTTTTTATACATTTCATTGAACATGTAATAAATGTTATTTATTTTAAAATAAAAATACATTATAAAAAATGTTTATTTTTGTAACTTACTTTCATTCTAATATCTTTTGCTTTTATGTAATTTCTTTTCTTGTTCTTGTATTTAGTTAGTTAACTCTTGTATAATAACCAATCTTATTTGTAGTTCATATTGTATTTGTATCATTTTTAAAATAAAAATTGAATCACATTTTAAATGTTTAATGAATATTCCAAATATATTAAAAAATTTGGTCACCTAGATATTTATTATAAATGATACATCATTTACCATTAATTTTCTTACGTGAATTTATACAGTGCATATTCTGTTGTTATAAGTCCATAAAAAATCTGCTAGTAAAATTCAGTAATGTCATGCTGTTATTAACAAATTTTTAAAAAGAAATATTTTGTTTGTAACAGAACTATGTTTATGCATTTTAAGCGGAATTGGATCTGAAAGATATCACCAATGTGAAGTGTAAAATTTATACTCTGAGCAGTGATGCTTCTATCTGTACAGATGAATATGCAAGTAAAGTAATGCAAAGGTCTGTATGTTCTTTTTATAATATAATCATTTTATATATTTTATAATTAGAAGATATTGAAATATTTATACATTTATTTATCATATTTAATAGATTTTTTAAAAGATATTGAAAAGTCAACATGAATGAAATTTGAAATTTTTTTTTACTTTTGTACATTAATTTTTAATCACATATTAATTACAGCTTCTATTCATATTATTGAATTTAGAATGAATGCATATATATGTATATATACATATATACATTCAGTAATATAAGAATATTTTTGAGTAATTTACTAAATTAAAATTTATATGTATATGTAAACTCTTAGGAAATTACTCAAAAATATTCTTATATTACTATTTCTGTATTTTGTAAGATGTTTTTTGAAAAATATGCATATAGTTTTAAAAAAATATACTGGTTTTTTCAGAACAAAAATCTATGAAAGCCAATCTAACAGAAATTTTAAAATATTTTATGCTACAAGTATATAATAATAAACTGTAGGATATATATTGTTATTATTATTATTAATAAGTATGTTTCAATGTCAATAAACAGATATTGATCATTTAAAAAAGAAAGAAAGAAAAAATTGATGTTTCAAGCTTAAACTACTGTGTTTTATAAACTTAAAAAATATTGTTTTATATAATTTAGAATAGAATAATGAAAAATTTAACATAATGACTACTAGTCAAATCTACAGTACTATATTGAAAGAACATCAAGAACTCAAGAAGTTATTTTCAGAAGCATTTTTATACTGAATGGGAATAAGTTCAATAGCCAAAATGGCAGTGAGGATTGCCACTATGGCAAGAGCAAACATGGGCTTATTTTTGCTTCTAATTATTTTTAATGAAATTAAACAGTAAAATAAGTGCAATAGGACTCATCTACATTAAATAAGCTTCAAACTAATGAATAAAATGTAAATTAATTCATACCCTAATGAACAGGCAAAATATAAAAATTTTAGAAGCAGTAGAGATCTACAACGTGAGCATGAGTAGAAACTGCATCAACACGGATGTCATTCCTTTATCATCAGCGTGGAAACGATATCTTGACTCATAATATACGTCATACACGATACGTCACAGCCATTTTTCGTTCTTTTAAAATTTAAAAGGCAGCTAAGTTCTATTTATAGAATGGTTTTTCCAGTTTGCATTTCCTGAGGAAGGCCGATAAATTCAGTGGCTGAAAACGTTCGACATGTATTTTTTGATGTTTATTTGCTGGAAATTTTGAATTTTGGTGTGATTTGTGAATATTACAGTTCCAGTTTTTGGTAAGAGTGTATTTACCCTAATGAATTGGAAGTAGATTTTTCTTTAGCATATTTTGCATATATGGATATTACAGCATAGAAACATTGTTTGGTAAAAAACAGCATTACTTATGACTCATCACAATATATAGCTGAGAACTTGACTATTGAAAATTATTTTGAAATAAAACATTTGTATAAGTGGATACAATAATGTAAATTGTTCACCAGGCTTTATTGAAAAGGCATAGAATGCTAAATTCAAAGCTGATTGTACAACATGGTTTTCGTACACAGTTCGAGAATTCAGTAAATTGTCTGTACAAAATTTCACAGTTTTTAAGTGTAAACTCCATTATTTGATTTTTTCTTCAAGTAAGCATGCATGTTATCTCAGATTTATTCATGGATGTTAGATTATTGAAATTTTAAATTTGTTTTTGCCTTTCATCAGGTTTACTTTAATGAAAACTGATAGTACAGTTTTTTCTTCCTTGTCCTAGCTTTCCTATCGACCAGGTATTGTTGACATTGCTTTCAGACATTGGCATTTAAGACTGTCACCATGTTTTGGTTTTATACATTAATCTTCATATTTAGTAATGTTTGTTTAAACATTTTTAGGCAAATGTTATTAAACTTTTTTAACTGTAGGCAAGTAATTATTCGTAAAAATGACAAATGAAATACGGCAGTATCTTGGTACTTGAACTATTCCCAACTCAAACAATTTGGTATTTGAACACACATTCTGGAAAAAATTGTTCAGTACTCAATTGAACAAACAAAGGCTCCCTAAAATAAATTTTCAATTAATAACATTTTTATTTTGTCATCCAAAAAAATATTTTTTGATAAAAATAAGAAAAATGAAGACATAGCTGATATTTCTGACCAAGATCAACAAAAAAGTTCAGATGACAACTATATTTTGTGAAAAGAAATTTCCTCATTTAATCAAAATTACTATTAATGCGTCATACAGTACTTTTAATTGTGATTATTAGTTAATTATTGATTGCTTTCATAAATTGGTTGTTTGTTTTCTGCTCTTAGAAGGAAACTGTTGGAATGTCTTTTAATAAATATTAATAAAATTTAGTTAATTACATTAAAAGTATACAAACTCTATATTAAATTTGTAATACAGTAATACCCCGAACTTACGCGATAGGTGGGACCGAGCGATAACCACGTAAGTCGGGGTATAATTTCGCAATTTGTGTAAAATCCAAGTTGGATGTATGTAATCTAATAGATGTTCTTGTTAATCTTATCTCGTCTTTTGATTTGTTCACGGTTAGAAGAAATCACCACATAGAATCTCTCAAGTCTCTGTAGATATAACAAACACAGAAATAAATAACACAGAATAAATTGTAGCTATGTGTCGATTCCGCGCGACACGTCCAAACATGTAAGCTGAACAATAGTGTGGGGGGAGTGAGTAATCAAGAGTTGCATGGCATTCAAACAAAAGATGAATCAACAAGATTTGAAAATCGCGTAACTCCGGGTTTGCGTAAGTTGAGGTATTACTGTATTCACTAAAATTATTAATCAGGGTTAATAGCAATCAAATGTTGTACTATTTTATATTAGTTTAACACAAAAAGCAAATTTTTGTAGGGAAAGGGTTGTGGAGGAAGACAACAATATTACATTTAGAATAAATTCTAGAATTTTTGAAAATGGGAGAAGACTTAAATGTAAATATTCAAAATATTATAGCAGAATTTAAATGTTTATGTGATAATGTTGGCCTACAGAAGATATTTTTAGGCCTACTATTTTGGACATTGATAAACAGGTAGCTAAAATGCTTCTCAATGCATTTAGCAATATTTTAAGTAATTATGTAAGAAGAGATGATGAAGAGTTTTGACAGATGGAAGATGATAATTTGAATAAAGATATTTCAGATGGGGAAAAAACACTCATCTGCTTCAAGAAAAAGAAGTTGATAACACAGACAATGACTGTGAATCAGGATACTCAAATGATGATGAAAAAGTGGATAAGAATATAATCTCAACAAAACAAAAAGAGGAAATTCTTAACTTGCATAAGAAACATCCAAAATGGAAATTACACATATTACAGCAGAAAGGAGCTAAAGGATTAAAACATTTTAGTGATTTATATAAATGGGAAAAACAATTTAAATCTCAAAAACATAGAATTGAAACATTAAAAATCATTAAAGAACAAATGTTTGACAAAGCTTGAGGCAGCTATAAAATTGTTAAAGGTAATCAAATAAAAATATGGGCATTACTAAAATTCTTAAACTAAATAGTTCAATTAAGTTTACAGTTAGTGGTTCCTGGGTTGCTAAATTTAAAAAAGAATACAGATTAATATCTCGAAAAATTACAAAACTTGTAAATAAAACAGGAATAGTAAACAAAAGGTTATTTTAATAAAAGCTGCACAATTTCAAACAACAGTAAAAAATTTATTGCCATCTTATTTGTGTAACTTCATATTCAATATGGATCAGTGTGGTTTTTCATACAAAATGATTTCACCAAGAACACTTTCATATAAAGGAGAAAAAAATACTATTGGATTTGCACATTCTCCAAGTAATAAAGTTACACATTCCTATACCGTTCAATATTTAATTAATGCTAACGGACAAGTTGTAGGTAATGTATTTATTTGCTTACAAGAGACTCATGGAATGTTTGGAGTTCAAAGACTGCTGTTTAATGTTACTGTTACAGTTAACTCATCTGGCAAATTATCTACAGCAATTATTACAAACTATGTAAAAGATGTATTATCTTCAAATATAACAGAAAACTCATTATTAATAATTGACTTATGGAGTGGACAAACAAATATTAAAATTTATAATACAGTATTTCAAACATCTGTAAATCAAAATTCATGTGAAGTACTAATTGTTTCACCAAGTTTACATTTATATGATAACCTTTAGATGTTGGATTTCATAGACAAGTAAAACTTTTAGCTAAAGAAATTTTAAATGCTATACAATTATTTGTAATGATTCTTCAATGAAATTGGTTTGGACAACTAGAAATGGCATAATAAAATTACATTCGATTCTTCATCATTAATTATCTGTGCCAATATTTAATACTTAATTAAATGTGCATGATTTGCTTCTTGACTTATACATGAAAAATGTGAAATTTTAAGTGTAAAACAAGTTTGTTTTTCTTTTTTAAACACTGACAGTTTAAATTGTGTTGAGAATAATTGCCAAAATCTTTGATTTGTTAAATGCGCACGATGTCAACAAGTTCTTTGTTTATTCTGTTTTCTTGAAAAATATCACATAAATAGTTGCCCATCTAATAATTTGTGAATGTAATTATTTTTCAGTTAAATACATCTAATATAATGTATTTATTTATTACATTTCAATTATTTTCTTTATATTTATTCTATCATTACTTTTATATTATATTTTATTGTTTAAGGTGTATATTTATATCTAATCTTTCATATAACATTTATTTGAGTTTATTTCTTATTCTACTCTGTAAATGTAATATTGTTGTCTTCCTCCGCAACCCTGTTATTACTAAAAATTTGCATATTTGTGTTGTTAACTATCATAAAATAGTACAACATTTGATTGCTATTAATAGTTTTAGTGAATATTACAAATTTAATGTAGAGTTAGTATACTTTTAACATAATTATTAACTAAGTTTTATCAATATTTATTATTAACTTGATTCCAAAGATAATAAAACTTTGCTTGGGAATAGCTCGCTTTTATATTATTATTATTAATATTTATTAAAAGACACTCCAACAGTTTCCTTGTTAATGATGGAAAAAATGTATACTTTTGCTAAATTTTGGAACCTAACCCCATGTTTTGTATTAGTCTTTTGTTTTGCATAGCACGGATTCGCATAACCCTGCACTTTTTCGGAACATAATTATCATGTTATACGAGGGTTACCTGTACTTTGTTTCTGAAAATTTGATTCAAAATAGGGAATGTGATAATTTGTAATAAATAATAAAAATATTTTTGGAAAGTAAAATGAATACTGCATCATGTCATTCAATATACACTGCTGGCCATTAAAATTGCAACACCGGGAAGGAATGATCATATGAACGTCAAAATCATATGAAAGGAAGAAGAGGTTGGGATATGCAAATGATTAGTATTTTAGTGCATTTAGACAATGCAGGAGGGACAAACGACATCTGAAGCACTGCATAAAAGAAAAGTTGTGCAGTGGATTTCTCATTCAGAAATCGCTTTGTAAGGTCGGGGCTTCATCAGAATATCATGTTATGCCTCGAATAAAAAGAAGAAATGCTTACCAGCAAGTGTTGGAATTCGATAGAGGCAGGATCATTGCATATCGAGTGTGTGGATTATCATTCCGTGATATTGCCACTCGCACTGGTCGAAATCCAACCACTATCATGTGAATATGGAATCAATGGATTTCTGAGGGTTTTACTAAACAGCATGCAGGATCTCAACACCCTCCCATGACTAACGCCCAAGAGGACAGACATATTGTGATGTCGGCAGTGCAAAACCGTACAACCACATCACGGACCATTAGTCAGGAAATGAGCTTGTTTGCAGCACATCCAGTATATGCTCGTATGGTGTGACGACATTTGCAACAACGTGGACTGTTAGCACAGCGACTCTGGTGCGCCCAATGACAAAGCTGGATACAGGAGTGGCAGAATGTCGTCTTTTCAGACGAGTCCCGGTTCTGCGTGCAGCATTCTGATGGCTGTATACATGTCTGAAGGCTCCGAGCAGACTGCTCATCACCTGCTTGCATTTGATATTGGCTTAGGAACCCTGCACCTGATGTGATGATATGGGCAGCCATTGGGTACATGACACGCACATCTCTAGTTTGGATCGATGGTAATTTGAATGCAGATCGGTATATTTCTGACATCTTACATCCAGTGGTTGTGCCCTATCTTCAAGGCCTGCAAAATGCCATCTTCCAACAAGATAATGCAACACCTTATGTTGCACGTTGTGTTCTGACCTTCCTCGATACAGAGGATATTCAATTGTTGCCCTGACCTGCATGGTCTCCAGATCTCTCACAAATTGAAAACATCCGGTCATGGGTTGCTGAGAGACTGGCTTGCCACCCCTCTCCTGCAGTTGATGAAGTATGGCAAATACTCAATACAGTTGATGAAGTATGGCATAGACTTGAAGCAGCATGGAATGAATTGCCCATTTCTGTCATCCAAACCTAGTTCAACTCCATGCTTAAATGGATAAGGGCTGTTTTAGCCGCCAGGGATGGCAACTGTGTCTACTAATTTCGCGCCCCTGTAAATCCCCAAACTGCTTGCAAATTTAATCATTTTGTCTTTATGCCATACTGTTTATGTACAATAAATATCTTTTTTTTGTATGCTTTCCTTCTTGGTGTTGCAATTTTAATGGCCAGCAGTGTATGAAAAACAGGCAAAATTAGAAATGGTCAAAATAACCTAATTGTGACCACTTACATCACAAAAATAAATATGGCCACATAAATATTAAATAGATTATCTTATAAATGTTTTAAATAGTAATTTTATTAAAATAAAGTTTATTGAAAAACGATTATTTTCTATGAATTCCCAGAACTCCAATTAAAGTTCAAATTATAAGAAACTTATGTTTTATTAGAGAAAGTTATTAAAATATTTAAAGAAAATACTTTTGTTTTGCTGTAAAATTCAAAAGAACATTTACGTTTTAAAATTATACAAACTATGCCTTAGACCAGGGGTGTCCAACCTTTTTGTTTCTCTGGGCCACATTGGAAGATGTCATGGAGTTTTGGGCCACAAGTATATCATATATACTTGTGGCCCAATCCTTAAATATATAAGTATATTTAAGGATTAACATGTCTAGATTATAGTAATAAGTATTAAATCTTTATCACAAAAAAGGATATTTTAAAAAATTACTTTTACAGACACTTTCAATTTTTACTTAGAAATAGATAAATTCATTTATTATAAAGGAAACAAACAAAAATTTATTTGAAAAAAACAAGTATTTTGTTTTATTTGGTCTCTAATTAATAAAAAATGACAAAACACCATTTTAAAGTGCATTTTTATTCAACTAATATATTTATAAATAATATGTAACCCAAAAAGTAACCAATGCGCAAATGATATTTTTTATGCCAAAATAAAAAAGGGCAGAAAACTTTGGCACAAAGTAGCTAAATTATGCAACATAGGAAGGAATACTAAATAAAGCTGGAGTTTGGACTCAAAGGATTATAGACCCAAATTCGGGGAAAGGAGAGAAAGAACAAAAGATAAAGAAGTGAGGAAGGTTGGAAAATTAAGGGTCCATATTTGCATAACAGAAAGTCTATTTAACCTTTCTCACTACTTTTTATCTTTTGGCCTTTCTCTCCGTTCCCCAAATTTGGATCTATAATTCTTTGAGTCTCAACTTTAGGTTTATTTAGTACTCTTTCCTCATTCACGCATTTCCAAGTATTTGAAAATATTTCCTTTCCACTCAAAAATAAAATATATATATAAAGGTTTACAGCTTTGTGAAACTTCTTTTTTGAGTTTATGCCGTTGAAATAAATAAATAAAATAAAATTTAAAAATTTGTCAGTTTTGTTTACCCGTTTATTGGGCCGCATTGGAACTTGCCTTGGGCTGCATGCAGCCTGCGGGCCGTGGGTTGGACACCCCTGCCTTAGACTATTGATTACTTAATATTTTTTGTGTTTTGGAATATGAAGAACTTAAGCTAATAAAGCTTGAAAAGTACTTGTATCTTTTAAATATGAAATAATTCATTCTAGTAAAATATAATTTTCTTACAATTTGATATTTATTTTTCTTTAAGCAGCTGATATTTACTTATCATTAAATATATGATATATATTTAATATGAAACAGTTTTTATAGTTTTAGTTAAGTTTTTCTAGCTTTATTTCATTATATATAATATTTTATTTTAAATGTCATTAAATATGGTAATTAAATTTTAAAAAGTACAATCTGTTCTGTTTTTAAAATTAGGTGTCTTTCAATACCGGTGACAATGAGAGCAGTCATTCGCAAAGCCCAAGGTCAGCAACAACAACTACGTCCGTCCAGTCAAGGTGATCTCTATTGTGCAGCAGTATCTAGTGGTGCTGGTGTCTCCTATCTTTCTCAGCATCCAAATTATGGAAGAAATCTTGCCAATGGTACAGGATTTCCTAGTGGAGAGTTTACAAACCTCTCTTCTAGAATGAATGGAAAGCAACATGATTTGAATATTGTTGGAACAAATAATGATCAAATTAATCATTTAGGAAAGACAATCAACATGGATCATAATTCTGAACAGCAAATGTACAATATACCTTCTACACTTTCACATAATTCTGATATCATAAACCCTATTCATACACAATCATTAGCACAAACTAACTCTCATCAAGATTTGTACAGTATGAGTTCTGATAGAACATTAGCAAATACAACAAACCCATTACTTGGTACATTATTGTCACAAAATTCTGGAACTGCAGCAGCTCAGTTGGCTCAATATCAGCAAATTAAACAAGGAGGTTCAAATACAATGCTCATGAGTATGTTAAGTGATCTTCCTGCTGCTAATTCACCATCCACATCGTTTCCTTTTTTATCGCAAGGGAATACGACTGTGGTGGCGAAACCTCGGAAACAAAGAAAACGTAAGACGCTTTCTGACAGTCGTAGTCCTGGAAGTACAATGGGGAAAAGTCCAAAAAGAAAAATGAGTGATGATGATGGTATTATAAAAGATTTGCCAACACCTGATGTAGAATCATCTGAAAACATAACAACACCTTTTGAAATAAATAATTTATCTGTAGGAATTCCAGATCAGTCACTTATTGTTAGAGTAACACCACTTGAATCTTACTTGAAAAGTGATGTAAATGCTCCTCAGCGAACAAATAGTATTGATAGTTCTCATACTGGTATTAGTGATACAGATACAAATGCTGTTAATGATGATTGTTCTAGTAGTGTGGATTCATACAATAGCACTCAGAATAAAAGACAGTACAGTTTTACTTCTGAATCAGAATATAATGCAGATTATATTGCTAATAAGACTTCAAATTTTGTGGAAAATATTACTGAATCAAGTACTATTGACTTAGATACATGTGATGCTAATGCATTTGGAATGGATTTAAATCCTGCTATTATGGCTTCAAAGTTGGCAGCCAGTATGGATAGGCAAAGTAAAAAGCTAAAGAAATTTAAAATAGAAAATGAACTGAAGTCTAATAACATATTGTCAGGGGAGGAAAAAACTGAAGTGCAAGATAATCGAACTAATATGGATACTAATGTTGGCTTTTTGTCTAGTTCTTTTGGATCTAGTCTTGACAGGTCACATATGGATGAACAGGTATCTAAAACTCCTCCTTTGTCACAGTCTCCAGATCTGGGAACAAGTTTAAAAATTGCACGTTCTGGTGATAGTTTAAAAGTGTCCAAGAGTGAAGGAAAACTAAAAAGGAAAGAAGGCAAAAGAACAGATGATGGATCACTTAGTAAAAAGAAGGGTGATGCTAAAAAGGAAAGAAAACGCAAGAGAATTGAATCTGCAGATGATGATGCTAAATCTCCAGTACGTCCATTGCATTTAACATTAGATTCAACTTTAATGCCACCTCCGTCTACATCAAGTGGAGAAATATCACCATTAGTTTCCACTGCAACTGATAATCAGTTAGTAAAGCATCCAAAGGACATATCTAGTAGATTATCCACATCCCCATCTCGCTCTAAATCGCCAAGTTTTTCTACAAAGAAATCTCTGTTAACAGCACATAGAAGTAACAGTCCTACCTCAAAATCACTTCAGTCTGGAAAGACTAATCAGAGTGAAAAATTAGTAAAACCACTTCCTCTCAGACAGCCACAGGTATCAATGGGAAAAAGTGGATCAGATTCAGATGGTTCTAATTCATTTGTTAACACTAAAGTTACATTATCTACATCGTTAAAATTGCAAACTAAGCATAAACAAGGGAGCAATTTTAAAACTAGCATATCAAATTCTTCCACTGGAGGAACTAACACTTCTAGTTCTTTGAGTTGTGGACAGGTTCAATCAATAGGTAGTCATTCAAGTGGGGGAGGATCATCACCATCAAAGTTATCTACAAAACCCCCAACTTTAAAGTTGAAAAATTTAAATCTGCCTTCATCAACCACCATAACTCCTATACCAGTTAAAACTCATTCATCATCTCCAACACTTCTTGTACAATCTCCTATTGCAAATCAGTCTGTGTCTACATCTTCAATATCTATTATTCCTGCATCTTCTACTTCTAAAGCACTTATTTCTGGAAATAATGCAAAAGCTGGAAAATCTCTGTTGAGATCAAGAAAAGTAGGATTAAATGCAGTTATTGATAAATTAATGGTTAATGCAAGTGCACAACACATAGTACCTCCTGGTGACAATTCTAAAGCGGAAGGTTCTTCAGATCGCAAGGAATCAAAATCTGAGAAGAAGGAAACTTCTAAAGAATCTCTCAAAGACAGAGAAGGATCAACAATCAAAAGCTCTGAGTCTAAACCAAAATACTCTAGTTCTGATCAGTTTACTGTCAAGCAGAGCTCTGGAATTAAATTGACTGTTACTAAAACAAAATTTACTGATAACTCAAAATCTCTAAGTAAAATGAAACAGTTGTCTAAACAACCATTATCTTCAAATACAGCAAATTCTACAAAAGTTAGTAGTTCATCTGGAAGTTCTTCAACAGTTAAAACTGGAAGTATAACCACACCAAAAAAATCAGTTTCATCATCAACATGTATGCAACCTAAATCAAGTATGATTCAGTCAAAGAATAGTGGATCTGTAATTTCAAAGAATCAATCTCCAAGTAGCACATCCTCCAGCATATCATTGACATCATCATCATCACTACCAAGAACTTTAAGTTCCTCAGCCAATAGTGTTTCAAAGCCAAAAGTTACCATGTCATCACAAAATAAAAGTTTATTAAATGCTAAACTTTCATCAGAAAAATCAGAAAAATTGAAGCCTGTTTCAACTGAACTAAAAACATCTCAGACTACTGAAAACAGAAGTGATAAAATGTCTAATAATTTTCTCAATGTTGGATCAAATCTGATGCCACCACCTCTACATAATAAATCACTTTCAGAACACAGGTCTTTGAGTAGCAGTAATGTGTCTAGTAAGCACGAGGAATCCCCCTTGAGACAGTCACCAAGGCATACGCCAAATCGAGATAATTCTGTGGAAGAATCTGAGGGAGAACGAGCATTCAGGCTCTTACTGGCTCAAACCAAAGTAGATAATCAGAATGGAACTTTAAATGTAGAACAGAGAGCAGCTACACCAAAACCAGTAGATGTGCCCAGTGGTGGAAATGGTGAAAATAATGTTTCAAAACATGAAACTATTTTAAAACCGGAATTAGAAGAGAAGTCACAATGGGTAAGTAGTAGCACTGATATAAAACCAACTGTACCAAAGTGCCTTTCTGAAAAAAGACTAGAAGAATTGCCCAGTGAAAACATTGCAGTATCAGATTCCAGTGAAAGAAAATTATCAAACACTCAAATTGAAGCATTATCTACGGGTAAATGTGAACTTCCCACTACTGTGACACCAACAGTTTCTGCTGAAGAATCCAGCAGGTCATCGTCATCCCCATTTCCCCCCAAGACCAGAAGAGTATTCCCTTCCAGCGAAGATAGTAGCCCAGAAGACGGTCTGGTGATAGATTGTCCCGGAACACCTAGGCTACAAAAGTCGCCCGAAAAAAAAGTGTCGTGGTCGAGTCCCAGATTAGAAACAACGGTCGTCAATGACGAAAAAATAGACTCCTCTTCTGGTCCATTTAATGCCAAATCACCATTTCAACAGTCACCATCACTCAAATCGCCAATTCCGGTGACGACGCCACCCTCCAACCATTCCGCCTCTAGTTCGATGTCGCGTCCCTCTCCGTATGATATTGACGACGAGCTGATGGATGAAGCATTAATAGGAGTTGGGAAATGAGGACTATCATATTAAATGCTTTTATATACATCTTTGTGATTTTAAAAGATCGGAACAGTATTAGATCATCTACGACACTGCTCGTCATATATTCTTGTACATAATTCTGAGGTTAAGTACAACATACAGATTTTTATAATATATATGTCCTGTGATATTAGGTCCCTTAAATTAATTTGTCATTTCTTTTAGTGCTTAAGTAGAGCTTATTAGTACTTGTATCATAAGATAAACATCAATTGCTGATGTGCAATTGTATACACACCTGCTTTGCTCAAATGAATAACGTGCAATACAGATTGCACATTTGTTTGTTGCTCTGTAAAATCTTTGGCATATTAGCAGCTGTATATTGGTGCATTTAATGTCTTTATTAGAATGTATTATTATTATTATTATTTAATAAAGCATTTTTATACACTTCAAATATTTTTAGATTAATTCATATACTATTAATAGATTTGAATTATATTTGATATTACAGGTAAGTTTCAAGTTGTTGATAAGTACATTTCCATATAAAACAAAAGGAAATTAAAAATTAACTGTAAATTAAGTAACTTCTTTAAATTAGCAAGAAAAATTTTCACATTGAACGAACACACACACACAGACACACAAATATTTGTTTTTATATCATACTAGCTGCAAGGACCCGCTTCGCTGGGTTTTTATTTGTTCGTACATTTGTATGTAATATAGTTTTTGTTTTTTATATATAAAAAACTGTTTTTCTAAGTAATCTAGAATCTAGCTGCAAGGACCCGTTTCGCTGGGCAAAAAGTAACGATAGTGAAGATTAAGATAATTACATTATAGCCAATCTTACCTGTTTTCACAGAATGCAAGAATTAGGTCCCCCGTTTCCAGACTAATTAGAGACCTGGTCCCGATTCTATTTCTGAACATCTCCTGTTCACGTCCAGTCAAACGAACTATTTTCAACGTTTCTGGAACGTTTACAATCATTCTATAATCGAACCAATATTCGAATTTTATGTTCGAATTAAATTCGAACCAATTTTAACATAACATTCGAAATAGAAAGCCACTTTCAGCCCCATATCTCCCGCACCCTTATAGCTATCGAGACGCAACCCCCATAGTGCACGAATGGAGACTTGGGGCTACTACCACATACAAACACCATTTACATGCAATGTGTAGTTTTGGAAAAAAAGTGAAATATAGGGACACACACGTCCATTTTTATATATATATATATAACGAAACCAAGATACTTTGACACCTAACATTTTCATATTGTTGAGTAGACATTCATTCCAACAGATTAGAAAATGCATATCATATCAAATTCTATATTAGAACGACCAGTAAAAGTTACTGTATCATTTAAATATATATAAACGAACGACCTAAAAGTAACTCCTACCGACCAATCTTAGCGACTGCAGGTAAAGAAAAGACTGGGTTACTTTGAACACAGTAGATGTTAAAATCCAAGTCGGAAAAGTTGAGTGAAAAATATATCGATGTCAGGAGACCGTGAAAAACGTCGACACAGAAAAAATTCGCGTTAAGAAATTCAAGTTGGCGTTAAATCCCTTTGCTATTTCTGAACAATGATCTGCACACAGATTAAAAGCAAATTAAAATATACAAAATATATAAACTTCAACTATTAGTTGACTTTTTTCGAAAATATTGCAACCACTCTACATACAGATCTAAATGACCACTAAGTAACTCTTCTAATTCTTCAGTTGCAACTCAAAAACAATTAGTAAAATGAATCAAACATCAAATTTTATTTACAATTTTTTATTAATTTGTTTCGGTACCTTTGTTTGTTGTAATTATTAAATTATTTATGGACTTGTCATTGTGTCCACCTGCTACTTGACTCAACAGAATCAGGTTTCAACCATATTAAAAGTTTTTAAATCACGTCTATTGTTCTGCATTCCAGATTTTTTAGAAGTTTTATTATAAAATTTAAAACGGAATTTCAACATTTAGAAAATTTTAAAATTGATTCTAGAGATTGATCGGTTAAGAAAATTGGAAATTTCAACCGACTTCAATGAAAATTTACCTTTCCTAAGAATCGTCCACGTGAATACCTCTTTTTTGTCGTCGGATCGATCAAAAATTCGGGTATTTCTCTAGTTGAGATCTCTTCCTTCTTCTTAGTAGTCATAATACTAAGTTTTTACTTATAATAAATAATGCGTAAAACAATATTTAAATGTATTAACTTCTCCAACTAGCTGATATCTTTCGAGCATTTTGAATTTCCCAACTATTTAAATTCAAATTCGGTTTAGCCAATAAGAAGCTATCTAGAAGTGTACTCTCGTAGCGGACGTTTAGTGTGTTGTTAATTTATGTTCGTTTAAAATTTGAAATGAAATTTATTAAACTATTTAACATTTATTAATAAGAATTAAATAAAATCACATTATTTTAAATTATTTAGAGTTCTTGAAGTTATAGTTTAGTTTTAACATCGATTTTTATAATTGGCATAGAGGGCGCATGGTCGAAAAGTAGTAATGTGGACGTGCGACTACAGTGGCTAGAAAATATAGTGTCGAAATCGAGCTTATTTTCTGTCCCTATATTGGAGGTTGCCGCAAGAGGCGCTGCTGTCAATCGTTGTGCTACACTGGCTGTATCATCCTATGTTTATATTGGTTTTAAGTGGGATTTTTAAGCATAGTAAATGTGCTGTAGCCAAGTAAAAGAATTTAGATCGATAATAAATCATATCACTAGCAATCAATTATTATATAGTATTACTTTATTAACATTTATGAAGGAATTCATTTTATTAAAGCTAATTAAGATTCTTATTAAATCAAATAGCCTACACTGTATTGTCTATTTTTACATTACAGCTGTTGAGTGCTGTACAAACAAGTATTATTTAGAGTACAAGAGTAATCTACTCTTGTTATTACCTTATTAACAACAAGGTTTATTCATATTTACTAAAAAAATACAGAATTTATCATATTTTTAATAATAAAATGTAAGTTTTATATGGCTTTGTGAACCTCTTCCACTGTGAGGGCCTAAAATAGAATTTATTAAGCAAATGCCATCAGTTACATAATACTGTATACTGTTCACAGTATTATGTGACATAGTATAAAGCAATATTAAAATTACAATTAAATTCTACACAGTATATAAAATATAAAGGCAGAATGTTACTTTATTGTCCCAATATAAAATTACAAAATTAAGTATGTACAAATAAACGATTATTAGTCTACTGCCAAGTACCCATGCATATACACTTTATATTTGAAAAATCTCTC